GAGGCAGGACCTTGCTGTAACTTCTACTTCTACTCCAGGGTAGCATGGATCATTTGTAACAGTGTGTTTCATTCTTCTCTCCCTTCCCCCCGGCCCTGGCAGTGGAGCAGGATGGAGACCATTGCCAGCGCGCAGCTGAGGGGCCACCGCTCCATGAACCCCTGTCCTGTTTACGATGAGGTCTCGGGGGAGCTGATCCTGTTCTTCATAGCTGTCCCAGGGAAGATCTCTGAGCAGCACCAGCTCAGGACCAAGACCAACGTGGTACGTCTCTGCTCCGTCAGCAGCAGGGACCAGGGCCGCACGTGGAGCGCCGCGCGGGACCTCACCGAGGCTGCCACCAGCACCCAGTACAACAACTGGGCCACCTTTGCCGTGGGGCCCGGTCACGGGCTGCAGCTGCAGGACCAGGCCAGGAGCTTGGTGATCCCTGCCTACGCCTACAGGATCCTGGAGCCAGAGCAGCACCCCACCCCTCACGCCTTCTGCTTCATCAGCTCCGACCACGGGGCCACGTGGCGGATGGGGAACTTCGTGGGGGAGGAGAGCGCCGTGGAGTGCCAGGTGGCAGAGGTGCACACGTGTGGCAGGAGGGTCCTCTACTGCAACGCCAGGAGCAGCAGGGGGGCCAGAGTCCAGGCCGTCAGCTACAACCACGGGGTGGACTTTGAGGGAGGCCAACGGGTCGAGACGCTGGTGGAACCTCCCTCTGGATGTCATGGCAGTGTGACTGCCTTCCCACCTCCCCCTAATGCCAGGTGTCGGGATAGCTGGTTGCTCTACTCTCATCCTACAGACCCGAGAGGTCGAAGAGATTTAGGAATTTACCTGAACAAAAGCCCTTTAAATCCAGCCCACTGGACAAAGCCAAGCATCCTCTTCAAGGGCCTGTGTGCTTACTCGGATCTGCAGTACATGGGGGTTGGGCCAGATGGCTCACCCTTGTTCTCCTGCCTCTTCGAATATGGGACCCACCAGCAATGTGAAGAGATGATCTTTGTCATGTTCACTTTGAAGCAAGCCTTTCCCTCCGAGCTCTGAGCCTCCAGCCCTTCCAGCAGCATCCCTCTGGAAACCACCTTTGCTGATGTTCTTCTCCTGGACGCTTCTCATCTTTCAGCAACAAGTGTTTGTGTACTCCTCCTGCAGCCTCAGTTTGGCGTTGGGTTATGGCATCTGTAGATTGAGTATTAAACACACTAAAGCTGAACACCTTGGGTTTTGTTTTCTGTTGTCTGTTTTCCCTTTGGCTGCCCTCTTAAACATCACATGCTCAAAACAAACATGACCTTTGTACAGGGCATCTCGCCTTGGGGCATCTGGTAGACTTGATTAGGGACACAGACACCCTGCACAGGAACAGAGGGCAGTGATTTTGTGCTGAGCTCTAATTAGTAAGCTGTGGAGAACCTGCTAGAGAGGACACTGGGCTTACTGCCCTGCATCTGCAGTTGCCTGGTTCAGAAAACTGCTTGGCCTTGGGTTAGCAGCACTGCTTTGGCAACGAGCTTTCAGGGCTTGCTGTCTCCTCCTTTCAGCAAGGCCGTGGGATGCAATGCTTGCTCTTGGGATCTTCTTTGCCCACTTCTGCAGTGGATTTGGGGTTGCCTTGCTGAGTTCCCTGGCCCCACAGGGACTTCTAACCCAACCTTCTTACTTCCCATACTGTATGTTCTTGCTTACTTGCCCTTTTGCTTTCACTGCACTGAGGAGAAGCAGTTTCTTGTGTGTCAGAGCACCACAGTGTTGTGTGCTCCAGCTGTGCCCTCTCCTTGGGCAGTGACAGCAGGACCCATGCAGGACACCAGGACCCCCATGTCTGGGGACAGGACAAGTGGCAGAAATGGCATTTTGCCTGCATTGAAACTGCAGGAGCAGGACAGGTCTGCAGAGGGAGCTCCCAATTTACAGTCCGGAGGGGAAATAACGTGCTGGTCTCTCTAATCCAAGTGCTGAGCTATGATCCACACAGCGACTGTTCTTATCTCCAGCGAGCCAATGTCCTGCCAGCACGGCTGTTGTTATCACAGAGGGTTAATGGCACACGAGGCAGTGTGTCAGACAAATGACATTGCCCCACTTCCACCAAACTCCCAAGGCACAGGTGTCAGAGCAAGGGGACTTCACCAAGCCTGGAGCAGCATGAGAGTGCTTAAGCTGAAAGGCTTTCCAGCATAGACAGGTTTTTCAGGAGGTGTCTGAAGAAAACAGCACCAGTTTTGGTGTGAGAAAGACTCTTCTGAGGCTGTGGTGGGGTTTCAAAGGAGACATTATGCAGCGAGTAGACAAAGGTGAATGGGTACCAAGGGAGACACATCAGAGCAGATGGAACTAGGAGACCTTTACCCATGCCTCTGGACAAAATTCTGCTTTATAAACCAGTCTGTGCTTGTTTGCTGCATGCTGTATTCCTTCTCTGTCTTCTGTGTCTGTAATGGCTCCAAGGAACTGTTTGTTCTCTTGGTGAAGGAAAAATACCTGCTTTCCAGAGCACTCAGCACACATCTTTGGGGAGTGCTAGCAGGTCCCATCAGATCTGTTGCTGCTCAGGTCTATGAGTTTCTGCTTCCTCAGGGTCCCCAGGCTTGCTGTTTATTGCTGATAGCTTTCAGGGGTGGTGGGGGAAGGGACCCTGAGTTTTCTCACTGTCTAGCTTTGTTTCAGAGCACCTGCAGGCTGCAAGGGAGTGAAGAGATTTCATGGCCTTCACAAGTAGACCCCTCACTTGCTGAGACTTTCCCCAGGAGCAGGTCAGTAGCTTGCTGGGCTGGAGGAGCACAGACTGGCTCAGCTGCCCAGTACTTCATGGGTATTAGACACATGCTCCTGAGATTCTGGCCAGCTTCTAAATACACCTCTGTGGCCAATAGCCTGTTACTGATGCCTAGGGAGGGAGTGTTGCATCCAGACTTGTATTTAGACTTCAGCAAAGCTCCCTGCTGTCCTATAACCTTAACCTCCCTTGTCAGGCATGCTGTGAGCTACTTCTGCTTCATAACATGAAAAGGCCCATCTGAGAACTTTTCAGCTGTCCCAGCCTGGCTGTGCCTGTGCTGATGCAGAGCACAGGCTGGATATGTGTGGGGGTCTTGAGTGGCCCCTGTGCATCTTGAATGATGCTACAGATAATATTTATCCAGTGTTTTGGGGCAGGTTGGTGAGCTCACAGCCAGCTGGTACAATACTACCTGGACATCTGTAACCAACCTAGTTTAGGTAGAGTGTTTATTGCAATGTCTGAGAGGCAGCTTGGAATAATACCCTAACATGAGGAAAAACAACATTTATCTTGTCCATAGACTGCCAGGGCTGTAATTTTTGATTATCTAACATCCAAACATGTGACACAGGCATGAAGGGGACAAAAATGAGTGGTGTAAGTACCTCCTGCAGAGCTGCCTCTTGTCTCTGTGCAGGACAGAAGCTGTTACTGATGAGTTTTGGGAATTGGGTAGTTCAGGATACTGGAGCACTCGTGTGATGACTCTGCAGGGACTGCTCTTTCTCCAGTGCTGGTGAGTTCACACTCCAGTGCCATGTGAAGAAGTAAAAGAGATGCCATTTCCTCTGTGTTGCAAATGAGCCATCAGGTATCACAGAGTTGTTTATGTTGGGGGATTTGGATTCACACTTTGAGCAGCTGGAGCTCTACTGTGCTTTCTTTTAGGACCAAGAAACACTCACAGAAACCAGGCTGCAGGTCTTACTGCCACAATCACCACATGTGTTTGCATCCCACCCCCTTGCTTGTCTCCAAGTCATGGAGTTTTGTGTGGCTGGACAGGGGATTCACACATGTGTAAGCAACAGGAGCAGCTTGCTAAAAACTGAAGTTGTTGGTGGGATGGGGAGGAGTTAACCATGAAGTGTACAGCTAATCAGTCTTAGATGTCTAACCCCTGTTAACTTGCACGAGATCAGGAGAAGCTCTTCACAGTTTCATTCCCAGCAAAACTCATGTTGTGCAGCAGCTCTGTCTACTCTGCATCTACATGTGGAGAGCATGGAGAGCACTGGGAGGTCAGGCAGTGTTTTCATACACAGAGCTGTTCTGTGTCCTGCTGCAGCTACAGAGAGGCTACTGCAAGTTCAGAAATCCCAAGGAGCTGGTACAGGTGAAGCTAGCAGCACACTGTGGCCAGGCAGGGCTGTCAAAAGAGCTGCACAGTCCCTTTGCCATATGCAGACACTCTCCTCAGTGGGGACAGTGGAGTTTGTAACCACTCTAGATTATGAGAGCTTATTATTCCTGCTATTCAGCATCTAACTCCATTTAGGCTCTTGAATCCATGGCTCCTGAAGCCCCATGTGGGTCTGGGTGAGGCTGAAGGGCAGGTAGCTGAGGTGATTGTGGTCTGGAGGCAGTGCCTGCTCAGTGTGGATAGGGAGCCCTGCATGTTGCAGTTCTGCTCGTTGAGCAGGATCCTAGGAGAGCCACACAACTGTGAATTGCTGGTGCCCATTTAATCTCAATGGCAGAGATTAAGCTGACACTGCAGAGCAGGTGTCTGGGGAACTGAAAGCAGCAGGGAGGCCATCAGGGATGAATGTTGGACTGTGCTGGCTGAGTGTCCCTCTCCATACCCACAAACTCTGGTCTCACCATGTACAGGGGCAGCACTCCATGCTGTGCTGTGGCTCCAGCACTTCTCCTGGCTCTAGGAGGTGTGGTTTCCATGGGGCTAGTGGTGTCTGTGCCTCCCCTGGGAGCTCCCCTCCCCTGCTCTGAGTCCCAGCTCAGCTGCTGCTTTTAGCTATAGCTCAAACGTGGATGTGCAGAAGCTGCCTTCAAAGGCAGGGTGGTTGGAGGTGCAGGATAGGCAACCAAACTTGCCACGGAGGCAGCCATGTCCATGCATGCTGCAAACGTGCCCTTTGTTGCTCTGCCTTGGAGATGCAGCACGGAGCATGCCCCACAGCACAGGCAAGCAGCAGATGCACAAAGAAAAGGGAAGTGAAAGCTCCAGTTCTCCCCTCTCTGACGTGCGTTCCCAGACGTGGCTTTGCTCCATGCCACCTTTGGGGGTTTAGAGTAGGAAAGATCTTTGAATCCATCCCACAGGAGCTGACAGGGAGCTTTGGTCACAAATCCCCAGAGCAAATTGGCTTCTAAGTGCTTCGGTGCATGGAAACATGCAGGGGCAATTTTATTTTTCAGTTCTTTGAAGTCCCTTCCTCACACCTAGCTGGATGTGAGGACTGGACAAGGCAGGAGTGCAGCAGTCAGCGTGAAATATCCTAATTCTCAGCGTGTTTCTGCTCAGCCTGAGATTTATTTATTCCCCACGGAGACCTGTAGCAGGCAAGACAGACAGACAGGAAAATGATGGAAACTCCAAAGCTCTGGCAAGAGACTGTAGATGGGATGGCAGGTCACCAAAGACTGGGCTGGAGGGGCAGCAGAGCAGCTCCCCAGCTGGGACTCTTCGGTCCGGTGTGCTGGGAGGTGAGGAGGGGGAGGGAGTGCAGGGAA